AACATTGGCCAGAGCAATTAGACAAGAGAAAGAAGTAAAAGAAATAAGGATAGTAAAGGAAGAAGTTAAATTATTACTATTTGCAGATGATCGCAAAAACTCCACCAAGAGACTTCTAGATTGAATAACCAAATTCAGTAGTGTAGCTGGATACAAAGTTGACACTCAAAACTCAATAGACTTCCTGTACACATGTAACAAACACACTGAGAGAGAAATTAGGGAAACAACACTTTTCACAATAGTATCCAAAAAAATTAAATACTGAAGAATCAGTCTAACAAAGTAGCTAAAAAACCTTTATATTGAACACTATAGTACTCTGAAAAAAGAGATTGAAGAGAATGTCAGAAAATAGAAAGATACCCCTTGTTCTTGGGTAGGAAGAACCAATATAGTGAAAATGGTGATAACTTTCAAAATTGTTATACAGATTTAATTCAATCTCAATCAAAATACCAGTATCATATCTCACAGAATTAGAGAAAGCAAACCTAAAATTCATTTGGAACTAGAAGCAATTCTGGGCAACAAAGGCAAGTCAAGGGGCATTACAATCCCTGACTTGAAATTGTATTACAAAGCTACTGTGATAAAAACAGCCTGGTACTGGCAAACACACATACACACATCACAAAAAAACAGACCTGAGGATCAATGAAACAGATTAGAAGATGCAGAAACAACTGTAAATACAAGATGCAAACACACTCAGAGCCACCTCACCATTGACAAGGGAGCCAAACACCTTCACTGGAAAAAAGACTCTTTAATAAATGGTACTAGAAAAACTGACTTTTCACATGCCAAAGATTAAAACTAGACTTATACCTTTCACCATGCACTAAACTAAAATCAAAATGTATCAAAAATGTAAATATTAAAATAGAAACACTAAATCTGCTGGAAGATAGGATAGGTAGAACTCTTGGAAACAATGATATAGGCAAAGGCTTTATGAACAAAACCTCCATCTTACAGGAAATACCACAAAAAATCAACAGGTGGGATCCCATCCTATTTAAAAGCTTTTTACACAGCAAAGGGAACTGCCAACACAGTGAAAAGACAACACACACAGTGAGAAAAAATTTTGCCAGCTTTCCCTCAGACAAAAGACTAATATCTAGAATAAAGAATTTTAAAGAAATCAGTCTCCAAATTTAAAGACCCAATCCAAAAATGGGCATCTGAAATGAATATAGACACTTCTCAGATGAAGAAGTAGAAACAGCCAATAAATATATGAAAAAAACATTCAACATCCCTGGTCATTTGAGAGATGCAAATTAAAACAACACTGAGATTCCATCTTACTCCAGAAAGCATGGCTATTCTCAAGAAATCAACCAATAACAAATGCTGGAGGAGATGTGCTGAAAAGGAATCCTTCCCCATTGTAGGAGTGTAGAATGGTGCAACCACTTCGGAAATCAGTGTGCAGATTCCTTAAAAAGCTAAAACTAGAGGTTCTATTCAATCCAGCTATTCCCCTTCTTGGTATTGTCCTGAAAGAATTAAAAGCATCATACCACAGTGACATTTCTACACCCATGTTTATAGTGGCCCAGTTTGAGACAGCCAAATACGCATCAGCTGATGAATGGGTAAAGAAGATGTAGGGGTTTTTTTTGATATAATAGAATACTACTCTACTACTCAAAGAAGCATACTACTCAAAGAAGCATAAGCTTGAGACATTTCTAGCTAAATAGATGCACCTTGAGATCATATGCTTAAGTTAAATAAATCAGACACATATGTTTAAATACTTCATTTTTTTCTCTGGTGTGATGTAAATAAGGACCAAAATGTACACAGTGATCCCTCACCTGTCACAGGGGTTATGTTCCAGAGACCCCCTCGATAGGTGAAATTCCACAAAGTAGTGGTGTTATAATTACTTTTTCTATATATTTTAAGGCTTTATAAACCATACCCACACTCCTATAAACCTTTCCCACTCTTTTATTAACCTTTTCTACACTCTTATAAACACTTCATATGCTCTTAAACACTTTCTACACTCTTAAACCTACATAGTTTTAACAACATGTAAAATTCTATATGCGTACTGGATGTGAAGTGGACAAGGAGAGATGAGGAACGGATGGGTACAGTGCAGGAGAGCAAATAGACCAATGCTACAGTCACTGAGCCAATCAGCACCCAGGATACAGAACACAGTGCTGTGGTTGGTCGCCTTCCAGTCCATCAGCCAATAGTGTGTCATGTACAATCTCACGTTGGCAAACTTAGGCAAGCAGTAGTGCTGTACTGCGTTTCCATTGTGTACAGTACAGTATTCATCCACTGATGAAATACATACTGAATTTTATTTTGATTTAATATTCTTTTAATATGTTTGAGTTAACATTTTTATACTTTTATGTTGTTTTAAAATTTTTAGGCAAAAATAATTAAAATCATAAATATTATATGAATACCTATATACTACAAAATCCTGTGATATAGCAAAAACTCCATGGTACAGAATTAGATATATTTTCTTTAAAAACCAGTGATACAGCGAAGCCACAATTAGTGAATGACAATATAGTGAGGGACGACTGTAACAGATATTGGAAAATGGGAAGAAAATGATCAAAGGGGGGGCAAAAAAAGAAAGGGACAAGAAGAGACAGAATAGAAGGAAAAATGGAAACAAAGCTTTTGTAAATAAGGAGGGAAAGAGCGGTTGAAGGGAGGGGAGGAGAATGGGAAAAAAAGCAAGATATATTGGGTACAGGTGCAAATTCCCAATGAGGAATGTTATCATTATGTATATCTGAAATGTAAAATTTAAAATAATAAGTAAAATTTAAAACCAGTAAAATTTAAAATAATAAGGCATCTCAAACAATCAAATTTCTAAATTAAAAAAAAAGAGAGAAAAGAAGGAGAAATTGAAGCGCGTCTGCTCACCAATCTCTCACTCCACACGTCCCTGAACAGGACTCATCGGACACAAAGTGCTGGAAGGTGCAGAAAGGCGTCTGGACTTGGGGAGGCCTCCCCTGCGAGCCGTGCTGAGAGCCAATTTGCACTGAAAGAGACGAGCAGCCAGTACAAACGCAAATGTCATCGGAGCGCCGTCTGAGGGTCTCCGGGACAGGCTTCTGCCTACACCTTCACCATGATCTGATCCAGAGTCTTCCGTCTGAGGTCAGGCACCGTGGCCTCTTTGCTGGGGTACCCCACAGGGAGCAGCACCAGCAGCTTTTCATGTGAGGGGCGGCCCAGGAGCACCCGCAGACGAGGGCCACAGTTGAGGGGAGTGGTAGTGACCGTCACTAGCCCTGCATTCTAAAATAGGAGAGGGAAAGGGTGCGTATTAAAGTTAGAGGTGAATCCCAGCTCTGCCTTCAGCCGGGTGTTCTCACCCTGTGATGCCGTCCTGCTCATCCCGTTATTTCCCTGAAGTTGAGCAGGGAAGAGGCTGGCAGCTCACATAATGGGCGTCCTGAAGTTTACCCACATTCCTCAGCCTCCCTAGCCCCTGCCTTCTTCTAACCAAGCAGTCAGAAGCTTCTGGAAAAAGAAAAATGCTAGGCTTATTTTTCAGGGATGCTTAAGAAGTGGGAATAATTACTTTATGAAAAGGAGTTTGAGAAATCCAACCACAGCAAAGGAAATAATACAGATGGGAGTTCTTTTTACCCAAGAGATGAGGCTTTATCTGGAATATGATCTAAGTGATAATGGCAGGCTGCCAAAGCATCCTAGCCCTAATTTGCTACAGTTTTCCCACTAAATACCCTTTCCTAGACTCCAGTTATCAGACTACGGTTTGTTATAATGTCTGTAATACGAACATTTGACTCATAAATGTCAAAGGCTCTGAAGTGACTTACTTGGTCTCTTCTAAACATCTCTCCTGATAGTCTGATTCATCAAAAGTTTGGGCTGCCCAGGGGATTGTGCTCGAGGATACATGCACTTGGAACAAGCTATCGACTTTCATCGTGAGTTTGGACTGCCTCTATCTCACTATGGTTCTTCCCTTTTTTTACCATATCTTAACATAGTACTTGCATTTAGAATGGCTGAGTCCCAGATTGTCCAATGAGAAAGTACTTAATTGGATGCCATTTCATACACTAAGCATCTTTTAAAACATAGCTTTTACTCCACACTGAATTTTGTATGCCTTTGGCAGTAGAAATCTGTGACTATATAGAACGTATTAAACAATTCTGCTTGCTAATATAAAGCTGACCTCTGTTAGTATTTTATCTTCCATTTTCTCTTTGATGTGAGTCCTTTGGTCTTATCAGAGGTTGTTTTTTTTTTTTAAACCTCAAATCCTCAGGTCACCAAAGGGCTATGGATTGAATTCAGTAAGTCTGTGAACTTGAAAACATAAATGCAGGTTTACATTCATTAACCTCTAACTGAAATTTAGCATTTTCTTCAATTATAAACATAGGCAACAAATCGCAGTAGTGTTAACAGTGTCTATGATTTGTCACCAATGAAATTCACAGATATTTTCATGTATCAGTTTATAATTATTATAGATTTTAAAATATCATTATACACCTTACTTTAAAATTGTAGACTGACTAGTAGGTCTTGATAGTTAATGTATTAATAAAGATTTCTATATTTTTCTCTGACAAGCACGGGGAGTGTTGGTGACTACAGACCCATCAGTGGAAGGAGTGAATCACTCCTGGGGAAGTCACTAGGCCCAATGATGGGGTACCTAGTAGTCAAATGGGACACCGAGGGTAGAAGAAATCCCTCACTGATCTGTCCCCAAGTCTCCAAATAATGAACATCGAAGTAATAATAATGCGTAGCTTTCAAGAACTGCTCCAGTTGCCTCCTGCGCTGCTCATGCTTTCCCAATCAGAAGCCGACCCCAGCCTGGGCCAGGAAGGTCAGGAGCTGCTCCCGCGCATCATCTTGCGTGGCAGAGTTCCTGGTGGGGGCCTTCCTGATGTTCTCTCTCCTTACTAACGCTGACCACCCTCAGACTTACGCTGAAAGTCCTGGGCGTGGTGGCGCATGCCTGTAACCCCAGGTTGAGGCAGGAGGATTGCCTTGTGTTCCAGGCCAGCCTGCGCTGCATAGTGAGTTCAAGGCCAGGCTGTACTACAGAACGGAAAGGAACGCAACAGCCAACCCAAGCCGGGCCAGGCAGGGCAGGGCAGGCAAAACAGAACGGAACGAACGCTAGAGGGCAGCACACTCCACAGTACTGTGCAGTGGCAGCGGCTGCACGCTTCTGAGGTGGGGGGAGGTGAACTGAGCTCACACTAGGCTAGCACTGCTTCTTGCTGTGGTCTGAAGGCTGCACGGGGACTTCCTTATTTGTCTGCTTACAGACTCAGGAAGACAAATGTCAGCTTCTTCAAGACAATCTTTCAAGTGATCTAAAGATACGTTTTTCTTTCTGTGTAACAATGACCAAATTTTTCATTGAGATAATTTAGGATTGTGTGAGTGTATGTGTGTGTATGTGTGTGTGTGTGTTTAATAAATTGTTCCTTGAAAGTAGGATCACCACTCTTTCAGTCTTGTTTGCTTTTTTATCCTATGCATTCACCATTTCTTCCCACCCCCTCTGGACTCCATGCCTGACCAGAACCTACAGTTCATGAGACACCCACCCTCAGCGCCTCCAGGAATGTCACTTGCAAGGGGCCCGAGGAATATTAGGGCAGTGAATGGACTGAATGGCTTGAAAGGCACGCACAGTCCTGTCCCACTTCCTGCTGGCATTGCCCTGGCTACTATGTAGCTGGGAGGCTTTGCAAGCACATAGCAGTCTCAATTGCCATGCAAACCCAGCTTCTCCGGAAGGCGCTCTGTGACAGAGTCCTCCCTTTAGCTTTTAAGTCCTCCCATCAGCTCAGATAGCAAAAGCACACACATCTATGGAGTTAGACTCTGTTACTTTCAGGCACTGAAGTTCTGCATGTGCATCTGCCAGGCCCTTTAAACTACATGTCGTTCCACAAGACAGCTAAGGCAGCAACAATCTTTCTGATCCTGAAATGAGGTACAAGTGAGCTTGCAGGAGGATTTCCAGCCTGCTGAACCGTCACCCTCCTCACCCCAGGTTTCCAGGGTTGGTTGGTCTCCACCTCAGAGCTTCCTCACTTAGGAATCCAACTTTAGATAAACATTTCCACAAGACAGACCCACATGGGAAACTCGGCTAGGTTTTTGAATAAGCCCACCCTAGGGCCCCCAAGTCTCCCTGGTATCTCTGGGCCCTGGGAGCGGACAAAGTACCTGCAGCGCAGCGAGCAGGATGCCACAAGCGATGGAAACACTGATCTCATTGTAGTAGTGGATCTTTTTCTTGCCATTCGCAGCAAAACCGTGCACTTGCTTGAAAATGAGAATCAAAACAGGGGCGGTGTCCAAGTACTGTTTAATCCAACTGGTTCTGGAGAGCGGGGGAGATTCAGGAGGATATTTGCTGAGTGTTTTTGTTTTCTTTTACCACCTTAGCTTATTTATGATAGGAATGAAAACATGCTAACTTGTCTTTTATGTTTATGTTGGGAAAGGGTACTTTTTTTCGGTGTGCGTGTGCATCTTATCCATCTTTTTCTGTCCAACTCATTGAATTCAATAAACATGCATTTGTAAATTGCTGCAAAGCACAAAGATACACCCTTATAACCCAGAGGACACTAAGCCAATATTTACAAAAGGAAGCCTGGTAAGGGCTCCTGAAGAAACCAATTGCTTTGGGAACACACCACAATCTTCAATACTAATTTTTCGTAAGAAGACTCGGGGGAAGCCCCCCAGAAATGACCTCAAGCTGGACACTGACGACCAGGTAGGGGAGGCAGGTGGAGGGGCATCCCAGGCAGAGCAGAGAGGTGAGCTCGGGCAGGGTCAGGAAGAAGTCCCAGCAGGACAGGCATCTCCAGCAGCCTAACAGGATGGAGGGTGGGGTGTGTGGCAGGACACAACGAGCTAGTAGGTTCCGCACAGATAGGACCTGGCCCTGGTGTGTAGCTAACGGAGAGTTTTCACAGGCTCCAGGCAGAAGAATCACAGGATCAGGTCTGTTTCAGAAAGTGGACCCGGTGTGTTGGTGAAAGTGATATCGCCAAGGGCAGAATTTTGAATACCAATACAAAGTCACCCCAGAGAAAGGAAAAACTGACAGGAGACCACGGCAATGGCCCCAGCAGGAGGGAGGACAAGGACAGAGAACTGGGGGGGGGGCCTGGGGGAGGTGTAGGGCTTGGAGACAGAGTCCGAGTCCAGTACAGGAGCAGGCAAGGAGCCAACGACGATGGGAAGAGATTCAGTGAAACACTATTAGTCTAGTTATGAAGAAAAGAAGGGAATGTCCGAGTTAGTGAGAACTCCTTCACGGGAAGTGTAAATGTGGAGCCGAACATCCTTCTTGGTTCTGTTACCACGCCACATACGTCTTGGCAGCAGTTTCATTCTGCAGCAGATATTCAGAGGAGAGAACTAACCCAATGTAGTCATGGACTCCAGTGTTCTGGACTTGTTCCTTAGGAAATGTTGTGTTCTTAATTAGCAAGAGATGCTAATGGTTCCTTTCATTCTTAGCCTAGTTAGGGTTCACCGTTTAAAACACAGCACACTCACTTGTGCATTTTTCGTGTTCTTAGACTGTTAAAACATCCACGTTCCACTCTCAGAGCCGCTTCGCCATACTCCGGTGAGCTGGGGCCCCCTTGACTGTTACTGATTATTTTTGCTTCACAGAGAGGAAGAACATTCACAGTTTAGAAGATCAACTGTGGAGCTGGACTGTCTTGGCTGTTTGGGTAAGGTCCCTAGTGACAGGATCTCACTACGTTGATAAGTTGAACCAGGTGGGCTCAAATTTGTAATCCTCCTGCCTCAGCCTCTCAGAGTTCTGAAATCATAGTCATGTGCCACCACTCCTGGCTCCAAACTTTTAAATCATGGAAATATGAATACAACAGAGCTCCTTTTAATCCTCTTTTGTTTTACTCACTCATTTTCTGACATTCTCCAATCTCTCGGTAACACACTAATAGTGGCTTATTATACCGAGCAGACCAGGCAGCAGCTCTCCACAGTTCCCTCCCAGCCTTGCTGTCCCAAGTGAGCCGAATGCACCCAAGAGACTCCTGTATGCGTTCCCCAAAGTGGGTTCTGTTAGATTAACGTGACTTCTCTATGGATATTTTCATGCTTTAAATTCTGATTTTTACATTATTAAAAGTAATTTTTAACAGCATATAAAATAAAGAGTAAGTGATATAAATTATTAATTAAAGTATTAGATGAAGGTTAAGCAGCTTATCTATATTCTAAGGCAGGCCAATCCTTCAAAGCACCTTTGCACAATAGTAAGTACAATGTATAAGAAAACTGCATACCACTGGTAGGCTTTTCTAGTATTAATAATTATACTGTGTAAATGTGTGTGTCTTTTTGCCAGTAGATATGGTTGGATCTATGTACATGTATTGCCGATCCCATCCCAATCTAGAGTGTGAGCTCCACAAGGGCAGAGTTCTTTTCTTTGTTCATAAATATATCCTCAGAGCCTAGAACAGGGCCTAGCACACAATAAACATTCAATAAAGATTTACTTAATGAACAAAAAATAAAATAAAATACTTCTGCACCACTTACTTTGCCTAAGCAAATATTGGTATCTTTTGGATTTGTTAAATTTTACACAGATTTGCTATAACATCATAGGAGGCTGTTAAAAAGACAGCAGCAAATAGAACTGTTAGAAGACAGACAACTGGTGCCTTCTACTGGGATGAGTTCTCCTGCCAGTGAGCCGGAGGGGATGAGGCTCACAAGGGGAGTTGGCTCCGTGTTGTGTATCAAGAATTAATAACAGCTATGAATTTCAGAATCGACTGAAACAGGACAACAGGCAGATGCTCACCCATTACTCAGTTTAACAAATGGGTATTAGTTACCTACTTGCCTCAGAATGGTTCTAGGTGGTACAGTGTGAGGCTTTTAAAACTCAGGTTAGACCCTTTGTGTGTGTGTGTGTGTGTGTGTGTGTGTGTTGCTGGTTGGGAAGGCCTATAACTGGATTTTTAGAGTACAGATTTCTTAAAAATGGCCTGTACCATCAGAAGAAAAGTAAACCAATGATGGCAATGCTGTGGTAGTGGCTATTTTAGATGTGTAGAAAGTGTGTGTGAGGTACATTACGTGCCCGGGGAGCCAGCAATTCATTCCACCCTGGTCAAGGGACATGAGAGCAGCAGTGTTCTGCAGGCAGTGTGCACACCAAGAGTCCAACATCTCTCTAAGATGGAAACTCAACTTGATTTTTACTTCTCTCATTTCTTCTCATAAACAAGCAATGTGATTTATAAGTTCATCGTTAATATCCTACACTTGTTCCAGAGCACAATAATATGTTAGGAATCCACAGGACGTCACTTCTGATAAGTATCACAGGAGAAGATTGTCTTCTGGGGACAATGAATGAACCAGAAGCAGAGCCAAGAGACCTACCTGTGCTCTTCTAGCCCTAACCACTGGGCGAAAAGTCCGTTGTACTCCCCAAACTGAGATGCCATCATCCTTTCTTAGGCTACTGTCTCTGTGGGATGTTGGACGGCAGGTGCCACAGGTAAGGCCCGCAGTAGAGAGACGAAGGTATTAGGCATTTTCATATTCTAAATGGCCTCCCGGCAGGGCCTTCTGAAAACTGAGAGCCAGTATCATCACCCACATCCCTGTATTACACTAAATTCCACTCGGCTTCTTCCTTGGAGTCCATAGTTATTAATGCCCAAAAGATTTACTTGAATTAACTTGTCCTCAAACTGCTTGGTGAAGTTATTTTGTAAGATCCGATCACTTTAAGCAAAATACGATTTGCTTCATCAAGATTTTGACAAGTATTTCACAATCTTATGTTCCAGCTGGCTGAAAACTGAAGTGTTTCTTCAGAGTTGTATTCTAAAAGTTATTATTTGGGTCAGAACACATAAATTAAGTCAGGGGCAAGGCCCTGATAATTTCCTCCAGAGATAGAATCTAACTTTTTGGCACTTAAAACCAGGGTCAGATTTGATTCGTGCATGTTGTACACATACGTGTTGAAAAGCCACACCAAGGCACACTATGATGTGCAGTAAATGCATGTTATGCAAGTATAAAATAGCATTTAAAACCCAGAGCCCAACAAACCCAGTTACTTCATTTCAGGAAGTCAAACTGAACATTGCAGTCCACCACCTCTGTACCTCAGTTTCCTCAGGTCTGTCACCCAGCGGGCTCCCATTCTTTTCATGTAGTTTATTTTCTCCTCCTCCTCGATGATCTCCCTGATCTGATGCTTCATATCTGGGTCCGTCACCACCACAAAGGTCCAGGGCTCCGTGTGGGCCCCACTTGGGGCTGTTCCTATCACCCATTAAATTAAAATCAGATTTAAAACTGCAGGGCAGTGTGAGACTGTACTCAGTGTAAATATAAATGTTCACTCTGCCATGCCCAAATTGAAGTCAGATAGTCTGAGAAGCAAAGTGCCTGCCGGGGGACTCCTGCCTGCAGGGACGGACTCCTTTTCCTTCCGCTTCACCTCAGGTGTCTCGGACCTGAGGGAACTCATCGCTGCTGCTGCTGCGTTCACAGGGGAGAAAGCATTCCTAAGTAAGGGCACCACGGAAACTCAGTGGGACGTGACAGCCCCAATTCACCAGAAGGCCATTTGTTCTGATATTTTGAAAAAAGGTATTGTCATAAAGTTTACTGGGGATGAAAAAATCAATGGTAAAATGACTTCTAAACTATTTCTCAAAAGGCAACCAAACCAAACACTGTTTAGCGCCTCCGCCACCGTTCTGAGTCTCACCCTGTAGGATTTGGCGTCTTGTTGGGGATATAACAGGGATAGAGAGGAACAGTGCAACTTCCTGCTCCTGTGGGAGGTTGGGAAGTTCAGCCCACAGCTGGATCAGCTCCAGTGCCCCAGAGTGAATCCGTGTGGCACCCCTTCTCCGAGGAGCTTGAATTCCCAGTGATCTTTGTGGGGGGAGGTTGGGGCCAGCTTCTGACCCATGGGCCACCCCTTAGTCACAGAAATGGCCCACTGTTCCCAAGGGTGGGCCATAGTGACCCAAAGGTGGGATATTTCAGAAGCAATGATTTCTTCCTTCCTAGCCAGTAGTTGAGTAGAATAAACTCTACCTGTGGAGGGAGCGAGGCCTGCAGACTCAGTGAGGGTTCTTGGTTGCCACCCAACACTCCCAACAGCAGAAGTCATCACTGGTTGTGAAATAAAAGTCAAAATCTAAGCAGGAGACCTGAATTTCTACAGAGGGATTTCAGTCAATTTTGTACCTATTTCACTTGTTCACTAAATATTTGTAGCTCTAAACATAGTAAAAGAAAAATTTCTCTTTAATAAATAAGCCCAAATTTACCTTAATATCATATGGTCACATACAAATATATAGATATAGATAAACAAGAAATTTAGTGACTGTTGCTAGTTAAAGCACTCAGCAAGGGTTGGGGATGTAGCTTAGAAGTAGAGTGCTTGCCTAGCATGCACAAGGGCCTGAGTTCAATCCCCAGTACCACACACACACACACAGCACTCAACAATGTAATACAGTTGTATTCTTAATGGAAACAAAATATTTTATATTCACTTCCTTTTAAGTTAAACAATAGAGTCACAATGACCATATAATAATTTAGATAAGCATAAGACTGATTAGAGAGGGGGGCTGGGGATTTAGCTCAGTGGCAAAAGCGCCTGCCTGGCAAGCGCAAGGTCGTGAGTTCGGTTCCCGGTACGGGAGAAAAAGCCAAAAAAAAAAAAAGACTGATTAGAGGGAACACTTAGCAGACATATTCTTATAACTCTTCTCCTCTTTCTGTACCTCTCACCCCCGGCCCCCATAGAGATATTAATTTACATTGAAAATGAGTTGGTCTTGCTTTGGTTTACTTTGCAAAGTCTCACAGGTAAACTTCGCTAGTTCAGTATAGCAAAGTAGACATAGCATAGTGGGCTTTATAGGTCAATTTATCACTCTCACCTGCACTCACATGTTTGAATTTCAATATTGTTCCAGTAGTGTCACTCTAGGAAGGCAGCTGACACTTTCAAAGACCCAACGTGCAGTCACTAACCTGCTGTTTTGATGACATTATCAATGACTTCCATTGGGACTTGCTCATTACTTATGAACCTGACTGACCGTCTCTTACTGAGAAGTTCATAAAATTCCTGAGCTCTCTTAACCATTTCCTCCTCAGGATACCGGGTGTGGGAGAACGGGATGTGTTCCACATGTTCCTCTGACTCCTGCCATTCATCGCCATCTGCAAACAAGAACCAGAAGAGTTGCAAATTCAGTGGTCAATCCGTTATAATGTGGCCACGGGGAAACGGAGAGTTCCTGAAAATGTCAGGCTACGTAAGCTCAAAAAAATCAACAAGAAGACAAAGAGAAAGAAGGGAGGAGAGGGAAAGGGAAGGAGGAAGGGAGGGGGAGGGGAGGGGGAGGAAGGGGAAGGAGGGGTAGAGAAAAACAGAGGAAAGAAGAGGATGAGGAGGAGAGAAGGTGGAAAGGGAAGAGGTAAACCAAAAGAGGGTAGATCTACAGAATCCTGAACATTGATCTTGACTTGCTCTAAACTCTACATTTGTTATAAATCCAAAAAATAATAATTTTTTATCTACAAAAAGATGAAGATTTCAAATTTCTGCTAATGGTGGACTAGGTTATTTGAAATAATCCTCTGCCTGTTGAAAATCACTCAGATCATCAAATAAGGTGTTTTTTAAAGTTTTTTTCTAAAAAAATCATTGAACTTAAAAATTAGTAAGAAATTTTTTTATTTTAAAAATGAAAGGAGGAAAACATTAACAGACAGACAACCTTTTACAAAATAGCAAAAGAACAGTACAGACAATACAGAGTTACAAACAAAGTGGTAGGAAATTAACAATGCTTGTTGTATTACATATTGATATCTTCAAAGAAACTGTCCATAAGTCCCTGATTGATCAATATTACATGTCTCTATCTGTTTTCATAAGAAACCACTTTGAAAAATTAGTAAGAAATTAACAGACCCAAACTGAAGGGAAAATATAAACCTACAGAGGTTAGCACAAAATTACATTTTCCCCGATTGTATCTGCTAATCTCTATAACTTGAATTTCCATTTTTGTACTTTCAGTAATGAAGGGTAACCAAAATCAAAGCTCAGGGGTACACAAATGGGAAGGTTAGTAAACTGAAACCCAAGACTATATCCTTAGGAAAAGTGACAATTAATAAAATACTGGCCCTCAATGGTTTATATCATTTTGGGATATCTTGGCTCAAACTTGAACTTAGAATAAAGTAGTCCTGGATGAAAATAACCCAAATTGGCTAGCAGAAGAAAATGCCAGGATACAAATAAATTCAAGTACAATTACTAGCACCAAATACAATCAGGCACATAAAGAAATAAAATATCTTGAGCAAGAAGTAGCAAAATTAATAAAAAAATATAAAATCAGATGCCTAAAGAGTCCAAATACTAGAATTGTTAGGTTCAGAAGATAAAATACTTATGTTACTGTATGCAGGAGGAGACAAACACAAATCTATAGAGTACAGGAAAGAATAAAATGTGATATAGAAATAAAAAATAGAATGTTTAGAACTGAAAAATAACAGAATTAAGAACTTAATGGGTGGATTTACTAGCAATAGAAGGAAAATTATTGAACTGGGAGATAAGTCAGAAGAAAATATCATGAATGAGTGAAAAGATGAAATAAAAAGTATAGGGAGAAAAGGAGCACAGTAAGAATGTCTAATATAATTTTTTCATAATCACAAAATAAAAAGGAGAATGTAACAGAGGCAGTATTTGAAATCACAATAGATACCACCAAAATCCAGATCATTAGTAACTACTATGAAAAACTGTACTCCAACAAATTGGACAACCTTGAAGTAGTGGAAAGATTCCTAAACACATATGAATTACCAAAGCTGAAGCAAAAAGACAAAAAATCCAAACCATATAATAACAGACAATGAAATTGAAGCAGAAAAAAAACCCTACCAGCTAAGAAAAGCCCAAGACCTAACGATTCACTGAATAATTCTACAAGACCTTCAGGAAAAGCCCAAGACCTGAAGGATTCACTGAATAATTCTACAAGATCTTCTTTAAACTAGTCAATGAAATTGAAAGGGAAGGAATACTTACAAATGCATCCACAGAAGCTAGAACTACTGTAACTCCAAAATCAAATGAGGACCAACTAAAAAAGAAAACTATGGGACAATCTCTTTAATGAACATAGACACAAAAGATCCTTAACAAGATACTAGTAAATGGAATGCAACAAACCATAAAAATGACCATACAGCATGACCAAGTAGGTTTCATCCTAAGGATGAAAAGATAGTTCAATGTTCATAAATTAATAAATGTAATATATATAAAGGGAAGCAAGGACAAAAATCACATGATCATATCATTAGATACATAAAAAGCTTTTGGTTAAAATCCAACATCCATTCATGATAAAAATACTAAAGAAAATAAGCATAAAAGGACCTTATTTCAATTTAATAAAAGCCATTTATGACAAATCAGTGGCCAATATCATATTAAATAAGGAAAGGCCAAGAGCTTTCTTTATAATATCAGAAACAATACAAAAATGTCCACTATCACCACTCCTGTTCAATATAGAATTCAAACCATTAGTTAGAGCAATCAGGCAAGAGAGAAATAAAATGGATACGTAAAAGGAAGAATTCAATTTATCATTATTTGCAGATGCCATGATTTTTTACATAGAAGAGCCAAAAATTTCCACCAAAATAATCTTAGAACTAATAACAAAATCCAGCAATATAGCAGGACACAAAAGCAACACACAAAAATCAATAGTATTTCTGTACACCAATAAAGAATCCACTGATAAAAAAATTAGGAAAACAATACCATTTATACTAGCTTAAGAAAAATTAGGTGAAAAACCTCTACAATGAAAACTACAGTATCCAAAAAGGAGATCAAAGAAGATATTAGAAAATAGAAGGACATTCTCTGATCCTCAGTAGGCAGAACCAATATTGTCAAAATGGCCATACTTCCAAAACTAGTATATAGATTTAATGCAACCCCAACAACATTCTTCACAGAACTAGAGAAAATAATCCAAAACTTCATAGGGAACCAGAAGAGACCCAGAATAGTAAAAGCAATCTTGGGCAATAAGAGCAAAGCAGGAAGCATCACAATCCCAGACTTCAACTTGTATTACAAACCTACAATGACAAGAAACAGTATGGTACCGGCACAATAACAAGCATGTAAATCAATGGAACAGAATAGAGAACGCAGAAACAACCCCAACACATTCAGCTACCTGATGTTTGACAAACGGGGAAAGTGCTGGTGAGGCTGCCGGGAAAATGGAACCCTTTTACACTGCTGGTGGGAATGTTAACTAGTACAACTACTGTGGATATCAGTGTGGCAATTACTAAAAAAATAAAATTAGAAATTCCATTCAACCCAGCTATTCCCTACTAGGTATCACCCCAAAGAGTTAAAGACATCAATTAGAGTGATATATGCATACTCATGCTTATAGAAGCATAATTAATAATAACTAAATCTTAGAACCAGCCTCTGGGGCCATCAACAGATGAATGAATGAAGAAAACTGTGGTGTTTCAACCACAATGGAGTACAGTGTTACTCAGCTATAAGTATAAATTTGAGTCATTTGTTAGAAAATGGATGCACCTTGAATCCTTAATGTTAGGTGAACTAAATCAGATACACATGCTTACATATTGCATAGCTTATCTTAGATGAGAAATTCAAAGTATAAAGAAATTAAAGAGCAGAATGAAAGATATACAGTAGTAATCAGGGAGGTGCATCTTTTGCAAATGGGAAGGAAAGAGGGAGGAGGAAGAAAGCAGAGGCAAGAGGGGAAGAGGATGTAAAAAGAATTAAGATGTGTCATGTACATGTACCACTATCCACAATGAATGTAGTCATTCTATACTGCAAAGATGTACTGAGAAAAAAGAAAAAGATCTCTAGGATTTTCCAAGAATCTACAGATTTATGAGGCAGTACATTCTAAGCACTATTTTAAAAATGAAATGTACCTTCTACAGTTAAATATCCAATATTAAAACAGCTAGAAAAAAATTTTACTCTGGAAGAACAAAAATAACTCAATTTTTGTCTATAAGAATAATTATAGATAAAATACTCCTGTGTTTATGAGATACATCTAAAAAAACAAAGATTGAAAATTATTCCATGAGCTACATAAATATATTAACATCCGATGAAAGGGAAATTAAAGTATTGTTGATAATAAAAGTCATTTTATAATAAGAAAAATGTATTGGGAATACCGAAATTGCACTTACAATAAAGGACCTTGAGACGGACTTTCAAGAAGAAATCTACAGTCACAGGAGACAATTTTAACACATCGCTCTCAGGGGTGATAGAATAACTGGGAGAAAAAAATCCATCAGGAAACAGAGATTATGGTTTATATCTAGACGCCCCCTAAACCCTCATGTGTTCATAGGGAAGGATTTTTGGAGGTGACTGGATCGTGGGGACGTGATACTGCCCAGTGGATTAACCACTGAGGAGTTTATAGCTAATGTGATTTGGGAGGTGAAGCCTGTTTGGAGGAGGTGGGGCACTGGGGGCGCATCTCCCTTCTTCCCTTGATCCCTTCCTACTTCCTGTCTCCCAGGCCGTGGATTGTTTCTTCTCTGCCATAACCCTCTGCTGTGCCAGCAGATCATGGACTGAAACCTGTACAAACTATGAGTCAAAAAACAAAAAAAAACAAAAACAAAAACAAAAAAACCCTTCTCCTTCTTTTAAGTTGTGGGTGTGGGGTATTGTGTCTCAGTAATGAGAAAGTAACTGAACACAACAGAAAATCTGAACATGATTAACAAGGTTCACAAAATGGGCATATATAGAAACAGTTCACCAAGTAACTACATTCTTTTTAAGTAGACTCAAAGTATTTATAAAATTTGACCATACAATGAATGAGAAAATAACTTTTAATATATTTTGAAGGTATAATTAATAATCTCTGAACATAAGCCAATTCAGCAAAAAATCAATAAAAGCAGACAATTGAAATCAAACAAGATACCTCAGTGGAAGTTAGACAACATTTCAAAAGGAAGTATGAAGTCATTTTATGTTGAAAAAAAATCTATGTTATAACACCAAAATATTATAGTTGAAGGGGGGATTTAGAGCCCTAAATACATACATTAGAGAGGAAGAAACCCTAAAA